CTCAACAACATTAAAAATCACATGACGTGCCTTATTCCAAACTTTAACTCCAGAGCTCTACTCATCAGAACAAAATATTGAATGACAAATGACAAAGCAAGTTCACAATTAAGCAATATGCAAAGTATGAGTATATTGGAATGAGAATAAGCTGTGAAAAACTTATTAGTCATCTTAGAAAATGTAACTTCAAAGTTCACTGTGGATGATTATAACCTTAGTGGGTAATACTAATGTACAAGTAGTTTTGAAAACGTTCTTTGAATCATAAAACCATAGATGTGATGAACGCCTGGACCCATTTTTAATGTAAACTTTTGATCATAAAAATGAGGAAAGGGGAAGATTATAAAGAAAAGATATATGATCAGCCAAGAGGAGGAGGCGTGTGGATATGATCGTTTGAAGGGCCATCACTGAAATTGAGGCAATAACTGCGAAAATCATAGCTGTACTGTGGACCTTTCTTATGCCACCCAGTACTTTTCTTCCAGCTATGCTTCAACTTGCAAATCAGCTGTCTGAGAACTCTTGATGAAGTGCCACCACGACCAAGTAGCCTCTTTCTTGGGACATTACCAAGTGTGACTAAAGGGCTAACTCTCATTTTTGCTATGAATTGGAGCTTCAAGAACTGAGTTCTTTGAGGGGTATAAAACTGTGACATTTTCATTCTGCCAGATATGCCAGCAAGCTTCACATTTAAGATCAAGTGAGAACATGTGTTGCTATTAGAAATGCATCATGAGGAATCGGACTAATGAATGCATTATGAAAGGTAGGTTATCGAGTGTGGACCTCACAAGGAGGGAACCGAGAATAAGGTGTCAAGTTTTTATTTGTGGGAAGTGAAGAGCGTGATCGTCATGGACTCTGCAACAAGTGATAAAACTTTAGTCTTTTGCCTTTTCAAAGATTAATAATGGTCCCAGGGTGGAATGGATTGAAAATATGCGGTGTAGTGGTGTAACATCAATGAAGTGCTCAAGCACTTTTCTCAAGAGTCTTCTATACGAGTATAGCTACCTACCAGTACTTGCAGTGTGCAACATTTATGATTTACAGTGTTTTGCGCATGGTTTGGCAATTCCTCTAGTGCTCTAAGCATGGATTCAGAACGCTGTCTTAAACTTTCTTTCATGCAATGATGTAAATAAAATAAAGTCCACCAATAAGGTAGGATTGAACTGCCCAAAACGAAGGTCTTGTCGATTTGGATTCAATTTCTCCTGGTTATCCATTCATCCTTTATGAATTTATGTCTCAAAAATTTAAATTTGTGGCATAGATGGGAAAGATCTCAGTTTGATTTGAGGGACAGATAATGTCATTGCTTATTTAAGTAATGTAAAGGTACGAATAAAATATGCCTTCATATTTTATACAGCCATCCTACAACTATATATAAATTTACTTATATTTATTTTCATTTTCTGAAAAATTTGAAAATGCTATTTTCCCAAAAATTAAAAAAGGACCTGGAGTCGACATCCCAAACTATACACAAATCAAAGCCTACTTTCTACGATACAGGAACTCTCAACCTTTTCGCGGGTAATATTAAGGCAGATTGCACAGGTAGAACAACAAGACTAGACTATTAATATGACCAATTAAAACTCCTCCATAGATTTCATGTTATACCCAAGAAATATGGCTCATTAAAAAAGTTGTGGAGTAAATCATTTGGTATCTAAATCATAAAAAAAACTTTTACGTCAAATGGTATTTTTTTTAAAATATATTTTAAGTAGATACTTTTATCATTTGATAAAATAAATAATTTTTCCTTAAAATAATTCATTCAAAAATTAATGGTTCCATAATATTTTAATACTACTTTCATAAAATTATATATATTTAATTGAACATTTTTACCTCAATTAATTAATCATGAGAATACAAAATAAAGCAATATATATTAATGTAACAAAATTATAAATACACAATCTTCAATTGGATCTGATCTGAAAAACATCGAAGTAGATTCTTTTCATGAAATAATTTAAATTCTTAAAGGCGGCTTATCAAAGAATAAGTATGTTAATATCAACCATTTAGGAAAAAATAGATTATAATCTTTTTTCCTAAGAAAATAGTAGAAATGGAAAACTATGTTCACATAAATCTTTCCAAAACTCTTGTAAAACAGTTCATCATAAAGCAAAAACTTCATAGAACTTTTTACAGGAGCACATCCTCAAATTCATCTTCTAAGTATCTAAATTTAACTAAAGAAACTGCTGCGATTATCTACTCTACGTTCAAAAAATACATTATTAATGTTGCACGGTCCTGTAAAATGAATTGTTAACCCCAACAAATAAATTCTTATTAACTCCTAAAAAACAAAAAAACCTTATAATGAAAGTAAGCAATCTTACAGGAACTAAACGACCGAAGGTTCAAGCAGCCGCAGAGGAATATAGCGGGTAGAATCCAATCAGAATTTTTATGATTTAACACACGGTGAGTAAACTAGACATTCATGTTTCTCATTATTATAGAGGATCCGTGCTTAGCATAAACTTAAAATTTATCACAATACTCCCAAAGGTCCATCCGACACGTAACAAATTCATTCCAAATGACGGCAATACAATCAGTCTAACCGTGCAGAACAAAGCATGTTATCCCTCTCATTTAAACATTCATTCAATCTACCAACAAATTCATGCACTCAGTGACAGAAAAAGTATAGTAAAGCAAATTAAAAAAAAAAATAAACAGTATAGTAAAGAAAAAAAATTAAGACTAATAAAAAAACAACTCTTATAACTATCAATAATTCCCATCAAAACAAAGTCAAACTATATGTGACGCATTGTCTGCAACTCAACCTAAATAAATTAAGAAAACAATTCAAGAAACATCAAAAAAACACTAGAAACACAACTTAAACAATGGCATTGGCAGCACTTGCAATCCTGGGCCAGAGATCGGCACACTCCTTTCCAATTGGTCCAGTAATAGCAGAACCTAGAAATACAAGCGACACCCAATCAAACACATTAAAACCAACAAGTAACACTGCATAACGAGACTACAAACGGAAAAAGATCCAATCACAAACCCTAAACACATTCAAAGAACAAAGAAATTCAAATTGCAACCAAGGAGTATCAAGGAGTTCGAGAAGTAAAATTCACAGTTTATACCTTTCATTTCACCCTTCGGATTCACGATAACACCAGCATTATCTGCATAGAAGAAACAACCAAATAAAAAATCATTCGAATAAATCAGCCTAACAGTATAGCACAATCAAAGGCGAGAGAAAGTTCAATACCTTCGAAGTACATGTAAACGCCGTCCTTTCGGCGCCATGGCTTGCGCTGACGGACGATGACTGCCGGCAACACCTTCTTACGGAGATCTGGTTTTCCCTTCTTGACAGTGGCCATAACCATGTCTCCAACACACGCTGAAGGCAACCGGTTCAACCTTCCCTTGATCCCCTTCACTGATATGATGTAGAGGTTCTTGGCGCCGGTGTTGTCGGCGCAGTTCACCGTCGCCGCCACCGGCAGACCCAGTGACATCCTAAACTTGTTCCCCGCCGATCCTCCGCGACCTGAAACGCCATAAATTGGTTAAGTAACACACGATGAACGATTTTAAGAATAATTAATCGATGCATTCGATTGTCAATACGAACCTCTCTTCGACATTGTTGCGTCTCGGTTGAACAACACAAACCCTAAGCTTGCTTCTTTCTGTTCTATATATGCATGCTGACTAGGGTTTAATCGCTATGGACCTGGGCTTCGCAATTATGTTCGGCCCATTACCATCCCAGGCTAGTTTCAATGTTTAACACATTAAGGAATATAAGGTGTTTTATTTTATTATATACTAATGAAAATACATGTTAGGTTATATATATGTTTGCTATTTTCATGACTCCTTAAAAAAATGAAAATTTGAGGAGTACATTAATGAGAATAATCTTTATTAGTTTTACATTTGAATTTCCGTTTATTACATTTCATTTTAAAAATATGTGCAAATAAAATTATAATAAGACCTATTAAGTTATTCACAAGTTAAATGATTCCAGTGCTTTTGACTCTTCAGGTTTTCACAAAAGATCATGATCATCTTATCTGTAATTGACACATTATCTGTACCAGTTTCGACCCAAAAATTCTTCAACAATAGAAATCCAAGTAGTTGAATTTTGTGCCTTGAGTCTCGGAATACAAGAAGGACCCTTGCAAGTTGGAACTCTTACTGCCACTAATACAGAGAAATTATGAATCATCCTCCTTGTGTTTTGTGATTCTTCTCCATTCAACTTTAAATTTGGCTGTGGAAAATTACGGATTCATTCCGAGAACAAAAAAGAGAGAGATCCAACAAAAATTTCATAGGTGTGTTGACTATAAGTATCATACTTTTTTTTATTACTTCCAAAAGACACTACATATTGGAGAACTAAACTCCACAAAAATCATTTGTTACATGCCACCAAAATAATTTTTCATAGGGCTATTTACATATTTCGAAATCAATTTTTTAAAAACACATCTGTTTCATATTTCAATATTAATCTTTCTGATATGCATTTTTACATATTTTAAAATTAGAAAAGTCTTTTATATCGTCTTCCAAAAATCAAATTTCATACCTCTATCATTTTCCAAAAATCAAATTTTAATTTCAAACTTATTCTACAATTTTATCCTTAAAGACACTTCATAAAATAAAAAATAAAAATACCTTAGACATCAACTCCAAAACAATACTATTTGATATAATAAAAATGTCAAAACTTTAATGCGTTAAGTAACACCATTAGAATTAATCACTCCTGAAAGATATTATCTACTTTGAAACCTATGTTTGGTCATGATTTTGTCATTAAAAAATGCTTCAAAGAGTATAAAGAAAAATAAATATTTAAATGTCTTAAATCTTAATTCCTATGCGACATTGAGTATAGTAAAATCAAAACTAATATGCATAAACTAATGAAAATATACACTGAATTCAAGAACAATGAAATGAAATTGATCTATATAAAAGTATTACTGTAACCATTGAATCCGTCATGCATTTAGCATACATAAACTTGGACGAAATTATTAATGCCTAAAGGCTGTTTCTTTTCTTACTTTTTCTGGGCAATGACTGCAGTTTTCAGAAGCCAGTGAATAGTAACTATTATCCAACCTCCAAGAAAAACAATGAAATGTATACAAAAATGACTAATTCAGTTGGTTGGAACTCGGTTACTATTAATTGCATCATTATACACAAAATCGGTTTGGCAGAAATGGTCAGCATGCAACTGTCGATCTGATGGATCCTGCAATCCAAAAGAGTAAACGAATTAGTAACATCATGATAACGATTAAATTATAAAAGAATATAAATGTAACACAAACACTAATAATGAAAAATTAACAAGTAAATATCCAAATTAGTCCCTAAAATTACTAAGGGTCAGTCACATGCACAGTAAACCTCCAATGTCCGATGGTTAATAATTAGAAATGTCAATATTGTCGATATTATCTTTATCTCCTTCATCTTTCCTACTCTTATTCCCACTTTAAGTTTGCTACAGAAGTTCTCATCCTCTTTTCCTCGTTATTCTTCATTGCTTTTTTTATGTTTCTTGCTTCCCATATGATAGGATCTAAGGTAAGAGGAGAGAAGGAAGAGGAAATGAGAGAGTAGTTAGGAAAGGGATGTGAGAGCAGTTGGGAAAGGCGGGATGGAGGTCTTGTATAAATAGAGTTCTATTTCAGTGTTAGAGGGGAGTTTTTGAGTATTATTTTGTAAATCTGGACTTTGGCCAGAAGAGGGGGATTATGCCTCCGTTAGGGCTAGGAGGGGGATTAGGCCTCCATTAGCACTATCAGTGTACTTTGTTCTCAATATCAATACAGAAACCCATTCATTCATTGTTCTTTCTATCTTTTGAGTGTGTTCTTGTTAGGTTCCAAACCCAGGTACCTAACAAATTGGTCCGACTTGTCGGATCTGTTTAAGAGGGAAGATCTTGCAGCAACTCTGTTCAGGGTTGTTAACGCGAGTCGATTGGTTGAAGGCAGGGGGAGGAACCGAACGGTATAAAAATAGGGAGAAGAGAGCCGAACGGTATACCGATAGGGAGAAGAGAGCCGAACGGTATACCGATAGGGAGAAGAGAGCCGAACGGTATAACGATAGGGAGAAGAGAGCCGAACGATAGAAGAAGTTATTTTACAGGGAAGGATAAGAAGCTCCTCGCCTTCAAGGAAATAATGTAGACACGAAAATGGTCCCATAAATTTTATCTCTCAATTTGACCACCACCCAAGCCTCCAGACCGGAAGTTGCAGGTAGTAGCCAGCGGGTCCCTTCCTGTGATAAAACTATATCACAGTGCCATGGGCTCAAATTTCATTGTTCCAACCTTGTGGACAAGGTTGTTTTGCAGCAAGGTGTAATGATAGGATCTAAGGTAAGAGGAGAGAAGGAAGAGGAAATGAGAGAGTAGTTAGGAAAGGCGGGATGAAGGTGAGAGCAGTCAGGAAAGGCGGGATGGAGGTCTTGTATAAATAGAGTTCTATTTCAGTGTTAGAGAGGAGTTTTTGAGTATTATTTTGTAAATCTGGACTTTGGCCAGAATTGGGGGATTATGCCTCCGTTAGGGCTAAGAGGGGGATTAGGCCTCCATTAGCGCTATGAGTGTACTTTGTTCTCAATATCAATACAGAAACTCATTCTTTCATTGTTCTTTCTATCATCTGAGTGTGTTCTTGTTAGGTTCCAAACCCAAGTACCTAACACCATATCTCCGTCATTCCAAAATTTATATCGTAAGTTTCACCTTATTATTCATAAAATAAGCCAAACTAAAGAGTATTAGGCATGTCACAAGTCAAATTTGTCGCCATGTCTGCACTCAGATCAGTAACAAACATACTATTTAAATATAGTCAGTAGACAACCCTACTAACTAATCATTGTTTTGCAATAACTAAACTCAGTTAAAACATCAACTGTTCAGCTTGGTTCAAAGCTCAAATTTGTTCTGAACGCATGAATCCTCGTCATCACTCAACCAGACTAATAATTGTAAAGGTCCGGACGCAAAACTCTTCCAGACAAGGAAATATAGCAAAGTCAACTCATTATTTATCACTATTATATATGCATTATGACCACAATAAATTACCTATAATCACCTAGACTCATCAATCCAGTCATCGAAATATAACTCACCCTTTAAAGCACACAAGATAGACAATTTTGCACAGTAAGCAAATTGGAATTTAATTAGGATTCACAGAAGACAACACCAATATGACTATGATCACTTGAGCATAAGCATTGGATCGTAAGTGATAAACAGTGTTTGAATATAAAATATAGCAAAAAGGAAACATCCAGCAAGCAGAGAACGAGTATGATCATAAGTCTTAAATTTTTACAAATTATTTAATGCTAGGGCAGTTTAGCTATAGGCCATATGATCAAATAACCCCAGGAGGAATATATGCTGGCACAGACTCAAAAGGCAACATGTATTTCTAAAACAAAGCAAGAGAAATTAAATGTGAAACAAAAATAACTTCAGTATGACCGGAACCTTTCCAACTTCCAATCATGCACAATGGCGAGTGGGTTAGTAAAGCACAAGTAAAGATCACCTTGAATTGACTAATAGAAGTTCTAGGTGATATGTTTGAAATAATTATTCATTTTTTAGAAACTATTGTAATGATTACATATTAAAGGACACCATCCGTATCGATTTGCAGAAAAAGGAATAGCATCCATTGAATGGAATCACTGACCAATTTAGGAGTGGATGTGTTGTATTTCATAAATTAGGAATTGAAAATTGGAATACATAATTTAAAACAATGAAACAAAGCAAAAAAAAAAAAACAGAAATAACATGTCATATATTTTTATGTTGTGAGAAAAACAAATTTACACAAATTACACAGAAATGGGAGAATGTACTAACTATGTGATCGCTTAATATTCCTGCAGAATTTACTGCCACATCTGCACTGGAAAAGCTCAACACACTCATCGTGATCATCAAAGTTGATGCCATAATCCTGCAGATACACTATGCACATAAGCTTTTCTAGACAAAAACCCTTTAACTAAAACACAATTTGAAGTAAACTACATAAAAATGATAACCTATGATGTTTGGTAACAAATGGCCTGCCAACCAAACTACCTAGTAGTATACATAGTGGCATTACTAAATTAGTAACCAGAAACAAATAAAACCTATATTTTGATAATGAATTACTCAAATTATCTCAGCCTTTGTTCCCAATTTATATGTTGTACTTAATATCTCAGACCAATTAGTACGAACCACACAAAAAGACTGCAGCAATCGAGCAATATATTCACCAAACATATTAAAGAACCAAACTCACGAACCCAAGTGAGTTCTTCCTGTGCTGCTATTTTTCTGGTTGCAAAGAACGCAAACTGCACATTTGAACACATTAAAAACATCAGCCATCATAGTTGTGTTCTATAGAGTCATTCTCCCCAAATGCTGACAAAGGCAATTAAAAAGTGCAAATGGAATTGGAGGGTTTGCTAACTTCTCACATGATAGTACTGATGAGTTGGGCACTCGACTTCAACTGGGATCTGAATTAAATTTGCATCCAAGCATCTGCAAAAATAAGTAGAAATATTAAAATTCTTCTGATTTACAATAGACATATAATGAGTACAAGGTCTGCACAGCCACATGAAAGTGTATTGTTAACAAACCATCAACCCAGTGATTTTATTATTTTCATTACTTTATATACAAATCTTCAATAGCAGGATGAATTTTCATAATTGAAAGTGAAAATTGAAAATCAAAACAAAATGTTTTCCTTAAACGAAAAAACTAAAAAAATTTACTTATCATAAAATTAATTCCAATAGCTGCACAATTGATTTTAATAACCTAAAATCTAAAATAATCCATTACAATCACAGTAAATACGATTTTTTTGCTGAGGAAAAAGTCGTTTGTATGTACCAAACCAAGCAACAAACTACTTAGCTTAATTTCAACAAAACTTATGAAACAGTAACATTTACTACTTCTATTAAAAATCATTAATAAGAGATAATCACCCGGGTGATTTTGTGATATTACACAACACCTCATTTGTTTCTATTCCTTCTCTTACGTCCCTTCATTGTTTAAAAAACATTACACCAACACCTTTTTTATATTACACTAATCCTTAAATATTTGAAAAACATAACAATCAGTTTGTGTTTAAAACACAGATATGTTTGTGTAGTTTCATGAAACCTCGGGTGGGGCTAGTGTAATTTACTAAAATAATTATTTTAAACACATAATAAGAAAAGGACAAAAGCCTCTATAACTAAAACTTTAATAAATAACTGAAAAAGACGCCGGTGAAATATGAGAAACCCAAATACCTGTGATTAATAAATCTAGCAACATTTCCATATGATGCCGCATATAAGCAAAGAGCTTCCCTATCCTTCACATCTCCTAAGTCCCAATCTGCATCCAATAAAACTGGAAATGTATATTTCCCACCTTTTGGATTTTTCATGTTCCTCTCGTGCAACTCTGTGACAGTTAAAATTTCCCCAACAAACTCACACACAAAGGTGCCTTTTGGAAGATCCTCTAAGGTACGAAGACCCCACCCTTTTCCGTCTGAAGTTAAAAACACCTGAGTAGCACATAATCGGGAAGGCTTATCTAAATAAATTTCTATCTGGGAAAAATGAATTTGAGAACATAAAAAATGAAATAATGTCACCTCAATGATTTCATCATAAAAGACAATACATTTTTTTACCAGTGGCAAAGATTACTTAAACAGTCACCTGCAACTTGCAACTTATTCCACGCTGGACAACCCGATTGCCACAATGTTTTGCACAGCCACATTTGCTCCAGCACTCTTTAATAAACTTCTGCTTTAGGTGTCCTTTACATGGTTCCAAACAATCATCATTCTTTGATTGTTCGAATGGACAGGCTTTGCAATAGAAATAATTTTTGGAATTACGGTTAATGGCAATACACTCTTCCAAGAAAGCTTCCTTTAGTAGGCCATGTGCCGTAAAAGCAAATTCACCCCCAGTTTTATTTGTACAACGACATGGTTTAGATGACAATACACAATTTCCCTTACAAGTTGAGCAACAATCCTCATTTCCAATACGAGATAGAGAAAAATTAACATAAGCATCTCGGTAGACAAGGTTTTGGGGTATGTAGTGAAAGGGTGGCGGAAGATCACTAGTAGTGTTATTCACCCATGAAATATTTACTGTTTCTTCACCCTTTGCCAGGTCATTAACATCGTGAATAGCCCTTGCATCATTTTCAGTCGTAAACTCACATTTTGGAACAACCACTGAGGTACCTGAATTTGTAGATATAGGATCCTCTGGCTCCTTCCCACCATTACTTTGTAAGAGACCATTAGTCCTAACCTTCTTGGAAGCTAGTACAGAATCGTCTTGACCACTTGGGCAGCGTATAGAACTAGGAACTTCAGGTTCAGCCAAGGCTGAAGAAGACCTGACACTGATTTCGTTTTCAATGACTGGATCTTTATTTCCTCTCACGCTAGGTGAGACATTGGTCTCGGATTCCTTTGAAATATCATCAGTTTGTGTTATCTTTACACATTGTTCCTGTGAATTATCATTTGAATCAGTTCCAAATTCCAAATGAAATCACACATCTCTCCATAATTCCAGGATAAAAATAAGGGTCAGAGTGGTTGTATATAATTGCACACATGTATACTAAATTATTTTTACAATTTGATTATTCCTATGCAATTGAAAAACCAGTTTCCAAGAACTGAGCAGCAGCTCTTGAGAAATATTTACCTCTCCCATAGATGGCAATGCTACATCTACATGAGAAGTTCGTTCTTCAATTGAGGAAGAAATAATATATTCATGCTCAATGTTTTCATCGTTGCATTGTGATGCCAGAGTATCGTGGTCATCTTGCTTTTCAGCTGCATCCATTAGAGAGTCTCCTCCACTTGATGGTTCTTTTGAGCGGAAATAAATGAAAATAAATCCCATCAACACAGTTTAATGTGAGGTTAGAAACAGAATAGCAAAATAAAGGCACAAAAAGTAACATTTCTTTGGTTTAACTGAAACACAAGGGCATTTCTGAATCTTTGGTACAAGGAACCCGGGACCTTCCACATAAAGAAGTAACAATGAACATGATGATCTTATGAAAGATTTTCAGCGAAAGTAAAAGTTTTACTGTATGCAATTCGAGACTCGTCTGCTGCATGTGCAAATGAAAGCATGTGGTGGGCTCAGGGCCAACATTTCAGGGAGAGAAACCAATGAGGTTCTATTCAGCTGAAACTATTTCACAGCTCAGCAAAAATTGAGCATTAACTTATTTTCTTTTGAGGCCCCTAGGAATTAAAGTGTTTTCCCGTATTTTACTAAGAATAATCTACCTACTTGCTCTGAAGCATAACAATTACCAACAAAGTACAGTATTACACATTGGGTTCAATGAAAGTGTACAATGAAGTAAACGTCATCACCAAGACCTCACAACAACAGAAAATGGAAAGAAAGTAAGAAGTTTCACATCAAGGCATAGTAAGTTGAATACCAGGAGGAATCACAGCAAGGGGAATCTCACAAGCTGGAAAATCATCAACAGGCTCATCCTTGGGCTTGATCAAAGTAAATGGAACAAGCATTTTGTTATTGGCCAACGGAGCAGCTCGTGGTTCAGCTGCTGACTCTTTTAGTGGTTCTGCAAGGGAAGTATGGTCGGACATAGACCTTCCCCCTCTAGGTGTAACCTGAGGTGATACAGGTTGCTTTCCCCTGTTGACAATAGCATCTTGAAAGGGAACATGAGGAGCATCATTCCTTGCATTTCCATCAGATAATGCAGCACTGCTTTGAGGCTGCAGTCTGGAACTAATTTCAGGCACTGTGCCTTCTTCCAATTTTGGAGTTTTCAACAGAAAGGCGGCTGAGATGTGGCCACGATTAGTTAGAGGGCGTGAAGATTGACCATCTTGGCCTCTCAAACGCAACCTCTTCAAAGGTCGCAAAGGCTCCTCATGCATATGAGCTTCTTCGTTGTCCACATCCTCATCCTGGATGTTTGAAAAGCCACAACACATTTCAGAAGCCATAGGTATAATTAAGAGCGAGAAACAAATGCAGACAAACTCAGCAAGACAGAATAACCAGAGTTAGTACGGCAACCTTCTTGTTTTTGTTATTCTGGTCTGGCTCCAGCAACTGTCAAACCATATCAAGCAATAGATTAGTCGCGTAAACAAATGATCCATTATGTAGATACTGGATAAACAAGATGATTCCAAAATACACCTTATTTTCTTCCTCCTCAAATATTGCATCAGCCAGAGTCCTGTAACTCTCTTCTTCAATAAGTTCCCAGTTTTTATCATACAATTTAAGCAGCTTCTTCAACACTGGTTTCACTTTTGATTCATGAATCCCGAGATTCGCCATTGCCGAAAACGCCGCGATCACTCTTGGATTCGGCGCCATTTATCATCTGCCAACCGCCACAGGCTACAAATTGCAAAGCACAACTAAATTCCAAAGACATTTAACACGAAAAAAAATATATATACAAAATAATATTTACGAGCAATTGAGCTACAGTGCTAAATAACCTTGAGATACTAAATCGTGAAACAAATAGCAGAGAAGATATCAGCAGAAGAAAAACATAATTAACAATCCAGACCTGTAGACGACAGGGAAAGGGAAGAAATTAACGGTCAAAGGAACTGCAAAAGAAAGTCAAAGCGAGAAACGGAACACGACGCATTGCATGGTGCAATAGAAACCTAAAACCTGCGAGAAACAAAAGAAATGTGGTTGGAAATGTTGAGGAAGAAGAAAAGAGTTTTGAATATGGAAGGTAACACGCATTTTGGAAGGGTGAAATTTAAGTGTGTTTGATTGCGGGAGGGAAAAGGAATAGGGCAGAATTAGAGTGTGGAAAGAGAGAAAAACGTGAGAAACTGCTTTCACTGTACCTGCTATTTCACTATCAGCTGGTTAGGTTTTACAGTGAACTGAAGCGAAAATGGTGAAGAATCACTGGCTTCTAACTGTAACAGTACTTCACCTCCAACACCATTTTTGCCTTTTTTAACTCTATATCGTGACATGGATTTATTTAGGATAAACGAAAATTTAGGTTTCTCTATCAAAACAATAATATGATTTACCTTTTGTAAATTTAAGATAATCACGTTTTGCTTTATATATTTGCATATGTATATAATATAACTTAATAATAAATTCGTTCTTGAACTTTGTAATAAGATTTGAATATTACAAGGGGATAATAAAATAATTGGCTCATCTTTTATACATTTAGACATTAAACCAGTTCTCTTAGGTTTTCATATACAAAATTATCATTGATTTACCTTAACCTATATATTCATTCACCCGATTTGTTTACTTAAACTAAAAAATAATTTGAACTTTTCCTCGGTAATTTTATCTAATCTTCCAAAAAATATTTGTTTATACTAAATGATGATTCTAATTATTCTTTTGCGATATTTGTCAACTAATATTCTACAAAAAAAAATGCAAAGTAACTTTAGCTTTCCTATTTTTTTTATAAATTTGTGAAATAGAAGTGTAGACCATCATACAAATATTTTAACTAGTGTAAAAACATAAAAAATGATTGTATACTTAATTAAAAATTTAGAGTTAAAAATTATAAAATGATTCAAACCAAACTGAGAAAAAGAATAACTTTAGTTCGTATTATTTTTATCTTTAAAACTAACCATAAACAATAATGTTTTGATTTATTTTCTTGACCGTAGTTACAATTCAGAATACTGTTAAATATTTATTAGCTAAGTTGTCTTGGTCTTCCTTTACTGATGTTCCTACTGTATTTAGTTTTTTATTTTTTTCTCATTTAGTTTTTATTATTTGTTTTTATATTAATCAGGAATAAAAATATTTTAATATAAGTGATTTTCTTGTAAGTTATTAATAATATTTATTTTAATTGTATCTTTTTTTATATGATTTCTAATTTAAATTTGATATTCCAAAAAGTTGAATTTGACCCTGTCCTTTACAAACGAGGTAGTTGTTCTTGAGCTTAAAAATAAAATAGTCATCAAAATTAATTATTTACAACTCTCCCTTTTTTAGTGCTTTTATTTCTATTAATAAATAAAATATTGTATTAGAAAGAAAAATCAGCCAGTCATGGAAGATTTTGTGTTATTTAATTGTAAAAAATACAAATAAGTAGAAAATAGAAAAAAATAATAAAATATTCAAATTTTAGATTCTTTATTTACCTGTTCACATTAAAATTATATTCTTGATAATAATATATATCCTTACATATAATTTTCTAAGGAAAAAATTATAAAAAAACAAATACACGCAAAAATTGAGCAATTATTGGAAATTTTATAATAGCACGCACATCCCATTTAACCAAATGAGCTAGAACTTTGAGAAATTTTAATACTTATTTATTATTTTCTAAATGTAGTTATAATGTATCCAATATAATTAATAACCTGGGACTAAAACCTACGCATTGCTTTTAGTCTGCGTTTACAAAATTATATAGTATTAAACTGTTAATAATGAAATGTTAATTATATTTTACTATTTTATAATTGACCAGTTAATGTAGAATAATACATCCTGGATATTGAATATAATATTTACTTTAAATATAATTTTGTTTCAAATATTTTAGAAGGGGCTTATGGTGTTATGTGGGGAATTAACTATGACTCATACAATGTCATTAATAGATTATATGGTATTTTAAAATAATATAGTGGAAATTAGAGTCCAAAAAAAGGGAGATAATGTTAAATTTAATTATAAATGAGTGTGTAATTATTTAACTAAAGTTTTTACTGTTTTTTGTTACTATTTATTAGACTAAATATGACTATTAACTTTAGTTTAAGTTGTAACAGACAAATAATCGTGTTTGGAAATATTAGACATGTCTGATGTTGTCTTTTATGTGCAATAGTCTTTATGCAATTTTGCATTCAAAATCAAATACGAATAATTGCCCAAGAGACCATTAGAGCCACGGGAGGGAAAGAAATCATGTTTTTTTAACACGTCAACTCCACTAAGTAATAATCACATCACGCTAATTTTCTTATAAAGAAAAAAGTTATAGAACAAGGCAAAGCACGTTTGATTTAATGCATGATAATTAGATAGGAATTTTTGAAGAAATTTTATGAAGGATGAATGAAAGTGATATGTTAGTGAAACTTTAACATTTTATTATTAAAATATAATATTTATGAATAAAAATAAATTCGTTAAGTTTTATTTTGTAAGTTGTTATCTAAAAAAATGTTTTTACTTATAACTATTTTTCTAATCGATTTGATACATTTTTAAAAATCAAAGTTTATCATAAATCCTGAATGCAACAATCCTAATTGATTGAAATTTTCATTACAAAAATTATCTTTACCTTTTTTTATTACATTGTTTGGATTGTTGATATTAGTCATTAATGTACAAGTATTTAAGACGGTAAAAGCTCTTAGAGCTGTAATAAAGTCAATAAGTCTAATGAAAATAAAGAAAGCAAGATTGTTTTTAAATATGACTATAGGTTCCGTGATATGGATGTGGAGGTGACGTGCTCGTCATACTTGTTTTTTTAGTTTTGATGAAGATATTTTGTTATGGGTAAATATGAAACAATTTTGAACATTGAATAAAACATTTGATTTAAAGGTTTTATGTTGATGAGTAGTTAGGATATTTTAATTCACTTCAATTGGTTCGCTTACATATTATTTCATAATTAAATACATATATTATGTTATGTCTAAGTGGTTAAGAGAGAGAAATTTAGTCTAAATCAATGTCTAAACAGAAATTTAGAAATTATGAAAATACAAAAATTTCTTATACATCAACATTAGGAAGTTTGATGTATATATAAATATGTATGCATTCAGATACAATACGCACACTTGGGATGTTAGGTAGATATTTAAGTAATCTAATAATAGATCATTAGAAAGTAGATGAAAGTGTTATGAGGTATTTAAAGATAGCAAGAGATTATATGTTTGCATATAAGAGGTCAAACCAACTATATATCATTCGATATTTTGACTTAGATTTTGTTGAATGTTAGAATAGTTTAAGATCCACTTCAAGCTACATTTATTTTTAGTTGATGGTGCAGTTTCTTAACGCAATGCCAAACAAACCCTTGCTGCTTCATTTACCATGGCTACAAAATTTATAACATGTCATGAGACATCTAATCATGGGATTTAGCTTAGGAACTTTATCATTGGAATGAAAATTGTGAAAAATTTTGAAAAACCACTAAAGTTATATTATGACAACAAATCAACATATTCCAATAATAACAAGAGTACAACAAAGTCAAAACACATTAACATCAAGTTCTTAGTTATCAAGGTCCTAATTATCAAGGAAATGGTACAAAGTAGACAAATTTTTGTACAGCATATAGGGACACACTCCATGATAACAGATCCTCTTACAAAAGGTCTTCCACCCAAGGTCTTTCATGAACTCTATTTGGATAAGTGTTTTACAATTTGAGGAATTTCAGTTTAGTGTGAGTTAGTCATTTGTGTGTTTTATGTTAGAGGTCTGATATTATGTATGCATATTATTAAGTTCAGACAATTTCTGTAGATAAGATCTAAAATTTGATATTAAATTATTATACTTTGTGTAATAATGTTTTTGACACTAAGGTAAAGTAGGATCAATTAAAAACTAACATGTACAAGCAACCTTCATGTGATTTTCATGTTATGCATTTCACGATGAGTTCATTTCTTTTGGTTGTGTAAATATCATTGATCATTGATGAATTTAGTTATGATTGTTATGACGAAAATTGTTTTGATTTTGTGTATTTACATAATTATTAGACATGATTAAGTGTTTATGCCCAAGGAATATAATGACACATTTTGAGCTTATATAATGTGTCACGGCCATTATTTGATTGGTTAAAATAATAAAGTGATATTAAGTTTTTGACTAAGGACATAATATGAAAGTTTATCGTGTAGATACCCTAAAGTAATATTTTGATCAAATGAGGGGCCAAATTTGAATTATTAAAGTATTGAATGTGATTGAAAATAGTTAAAAAATGGGTTATGGTCCTGATTTGTTAGGATTTTGTTTTCTCTTCATCTCCATCAGAAGAGATAACAAAACAAAAGTGGTGTTTAAAGCCTTTTGTATTTGGAAGATCATATACTTAGGGTCGTCATCAACATCGTTCTCAATGATAAGTACAAGTACGCTCCACATTTTTTTCCATCATGAATTAGATTATGGGTTTATTATATATTATTATATGATTGTGTTTTGCTTTTAGGATCTCTATGAGTAAAAGCACATGGTTAGACACAATTATTACTTCTTAGAATTTTTCTTCATGAATCTCTAAATCACCACCATTTCATCGTTAAATATCAGATCCTAAATCGTAAGAACATTTTATGTAATGAAAAATAAGAAGAAACCTTGTTGTGACATATAGTAAAACATTTTAAGTCAAACATTTTTTTTTTCTATGTTGAACACTTTGATGTAAAATAAAATATTTTAGTCACATAAAAAATGTTTAATGTAAATCACTTCATTTGTTTAAAAAAATATCATTATTTTATGAGTTTCCTCACTAACAAACCTAAAATAAATAAGGCAAATGTCTATTTTTGTGTTAGTAATCAATACTTGTGTTTTTTTTACACCGAAAACTTTTTATTTATAATTTCTCAAAATTTTAAAAATTGTTGTTTTTATTCGTTTGAAATTATATGAATCCTCTTTCATTTTTCATTCTTCGGAATTTTGAAATTACTATTTTTCATCTCTACATTCTGTGGATTAGGTAAATAATATATATTTTATACATATTTTAAGTTCTTTTAGAAAAAATGTGTTATTAATATTATATTTATTAGTAGGCACATATAAGTAGTTAACGAGTAGGAAAAGATGTTAAAAAGAAAAGACAATGATTTTCAGTTTTAGATAGACTAGAAATACAAAAGTAAATTTAAAAAACAAAACAAAATA